GGCTTTCGAGATTTCCACAAGTTCAACCTGGCTTTGTTAGCTCGCCAAGGTTGGCATTTGGTGAAATACCCACAATCCTTTTGTGTGCGTATTCTAAAAGGAATCTACTTCCCGCACTCTAATTTTATGGAAGCCTCAAAAGGCCGGAGGGCGTCTTAGGCTTAGGCGAGTATTTTACAAGGTAGAAATCTTTTACTACAAGGTATCCGCTGGCAAGTCAATAATGGGACCGAGGCAAAATTCTGGGAGGACAGATGGATCCTATATGTTCCGAGGTTTAAGGTGACCTCTCCGAAGCCCAGGGGAAATGATTTTCAGACTGTGCGTAATGCTATTGACTCCACGGCTAAGAGATGGAAGGTGGATGATCTTCGTCTTTGTGCAACCGAAGCAGAAGTGAAGGCCATTAGCTCAATTCCTATTGCTTTGGATCACACTTCAGATTCCCTTGTTTGGCACTTTGATTCGAAAGGGATATATTCGGTTCGATTGGGGTACCACATTACCATGAAAGAAATCAACACCTCTCTGTCTAGTAATCCATCTACCTCCTTCCTGCCCCCAAGAGACATATGGAAGATGACTTGGGCTCTAAAGCTTCCTCTCAAGCTTAAACACTTTTGGTGAAGGGTGTGCAAAAATGTGCTAGCTACGAAAGAAAACCTATGCAAACGCTGTTGTGCCGTGTCAAATATGTGCCCTATATGCCAGAGCTCTCTGGAAACTGCTGAACATCTTCTTTTCGGATGTGCTTGGGTTCGTGCAATTTGGTTTGGCTGCGATTTAAAACTCAATGGGCAAGGAGGACCTGTGTTCTCGATTCCTCATTGGATGTGTGATATGCTGAACTACTTCGGAACGAGTATAGAAAAGAATTCCTTTTTTAGTCTTATAATTTGGATCGGTTGGTTTATTTGGAAAGACGGTAACAACTTTGTTTTCAACCATATTAACATTGAGCCCTCCTCAAGTTTACATTGAGCTTGAGTGGCCAAACTGGAGTATGGGTCTGCTCCTGATGTTCTAGAGGTGGTGCAACCTCAGATTGTGAGCGAGAATCTCCGAGGGACGTCTATTTGGCAAGCTCCTCTGCCTGGTTCCTTTAAAGTTAATTGTGATGTGCGAGGGACGTCTATTTGGCAAGCTCCTCTGCCTGGTTCCTTTAAAGTTAATTGTGATGTGGTGATAAAGAAGGGCTCTTCAGTGGCCTCTATAACTGTTTTGCTAAGAAACTCTGGGGGGAGGTTAATTGATGGCCTTACTAGCTCATGCCGTGTCTCATCCTCTCTTCAAGGAGAAGCTTAATTTAACTTGCCGATACGCATACTCGCAACCTCTTCCAGGTGGAAATTGAAGGGGACAACAAGTCTTTAATCCAGTTATGTGTTTCTGAAGATGTGCCTCCGTGGAAATGTGGCTCTATTTTCACTGACATACAGCGTTTGGCGTCGCATGGGGACCTTTCTTTCTACTGGGCTTCTAGAACAGCTAACAGTGCAGTTCATTGGGTTGCCCAAGCCTCTCTCCGAGGCCATCTGCCTCTTGATTGGGTCTCCCATCCCCCTCCAGCTCTTGCTAATCTGCTTCGGCAACTCTAGTTTGTTTTGGCTTCTGCTTTGTCTCTGTTTGTTGGGGCTTGCTTCGTTAAGCTTTCTTGTATCAAAAAAAAAAAAAAGAAAAAAAAAGAAGAGGTGTGCTAATAATTAATATTCCATTCTCATTCCTCTTGAGGCCACTCTTAGGATTTAAATCTAATAATTACCTACTATATATAAGACATGAAGACTATATGTATTTGGAGACTCATGTCGAAATTGTAGACATCCTAATGAGCAAAAATGAAAGACAAAAAATGGAATAAAAATGTGGATGAAATGTGCATACCCTCCACAAATTCCTCACCAAATTAAAAATTCATATATTTGAAAAGCATAACTTTATTAAATGTGCATACTCTTTGTCTAAAGTTCCTTGATTTAAACTACAAATTCATTAGGTTAAATTATGCCGTCATCAAATTATTTTTTATTTTACTTGTAGTGGGACTGCAGTAGTCTTATTTTATTGGTCTGGTATGGTTATATTCCATTCCTTGTACAATAAATTTTTTAATTAATTTAATGTCTAAAAATAGAATGATAGGAACATAAAAAAAGAACATGAAAATATGGGAATCTACAATTAATTAAAGAGATACATAATCTCAGTCCGAAGGACCCACCTCACCATTCATTTCTCTAGCTATCAAAATAAAAAAAAATATTTTTTTAAATGGAATGCTATGACATTTTATGCCTCTTGTTTCAAATCAAAAATTTTATTTTTATGGTTAACAATTTTAAAATAAAATGTTAAACATATTAAATTTGTACACAAATAATTGGTAAAAAAAATCATGTGATAGTGACATTATTATAATTATAGAATACATTGTTTATATTATTCTATTTGAAATTTATGTATACAAATTCTTACATAGTATGATCATTAAAAACACCATTAATCATTTCAAATAAAGTTTTAAATATAAAATTTCTTTTTTGTGCATACAAAAGACATCTAAAAGTAGGAATGATAAAAATAAGTTTATATAATAAATAAATAAAAACCATAGATTTGAGGACTCACTTGCAAAGGGAAACCAAATCAATATGGAAGAATGAGAAGAATCTCAGTCAAAGTTGTCAAAACTTTTACAGCCCATCAAACATAACATACCATCATTAACTAAAATGAGCTGACGAATAGGCTGATTGAGTGCATAGCAGCTGGTGGTGGTGTTGTTCCTGTTTTGTGTTGGTTGGTTGCTCATCAGCTCGTTGTTATGACAGATAATTGGACTCGGTTTAATGGTGTCAACTTAATTAGAATCATTTTACTTTGTTGTGATACTTTTTGCATATAATATTTTTATTGATGTAATTTCGTTTTATTACATTCAATAAAATTCCATTTTGCCAATCCAAAAAAAAAAAAAAACTAAAATAAGCTCCAAAACATTACTATTTTCTTCCTAATCAACAACAATATATTTTGTTAATGATATAAAAATATAAATTATATATAAAAAAATATATACAGAATAACTTAATTGGGTTTCTTAGCTTGTGACTTTAAAATTAAAAATCCATAAACATACTTTTTATTAAAAGAAGACCACCTTACAAAATAATAGTGTTTTTAATAGATTTTTATTAGGATGCATGAGATCGGACTGGACGGTACTGTTCGGTTCGTGGGAGTCCACCACGGGTCCCGTTTTGATAATTTGAACCGTTCAATGTGTAAAATTTATCAAGTACTATATGTTTTTAAAAAATCACGTTGATCGAATATCGATAGCTATGTGATCAAATCAGTTTTGTTTTAAAAAAAAAAAATAGACGGCAAACAAATTAACGACTGACAAAAAAAATGAACCAATGAGATAGCTATTAATATCCGATCAACGTGATTTTTTACAGGCATATAGTACTCGACGAGTTCTACACATTAAATGGTTCGGATTACTAAAACGGGACCCGTGGTGGGCCCTAATGGGCCGAACAGCACCATCTATTCCGATCTCGGATTGGAGGCAAGCTGCTCCCTTTTTATTAACATATATCCTTAAGACACATTAAAAATTTTAAAAAAATTATATATGAGAGAGTCTAATCTTTTTAAGTCATTTTAATGCGTGCTCTAAAGACACATTAACAAAATCCTTTTTTAATATACTTTTATTAAAAGAATCAACACAATTTTTGATTTGAGACACATTAACAAAATCTTTTTTCAATATACTTTTACTAAGATCTCATGTGGCAAGTGATTTTTTTAGCTAAAAAGTTAAAAAGTAGGTCTCGTTTGGGAACAGACTAATTTAGTAACTTTTTGGCTATTTGGCTAAAAAGGTAGGTAAAAAAAACTTGTATGTTTGGGATGACTTTTTAGCTAATTACGAAAAGATGTGCAAAAAGTAGAGAGAAAAGAGAATCTTTGACTTTTTGGTATGGGTTGTTGGCTTTTTGGCTAATTTAGTAACTTTTTGGCTAATTGGCTAAAATAGCCTCTTGCCAAACGAGGCCTAAGCCTCCGTTTGGGAAGTGAGTTGGCTTTTTGGCTTTTTGGCTTTTTTGGTTATTTTAGCCTGGGCTTAAAAGTTTGGTTTGGGAAGGGCTTTTTGGCTTTTTGGCTTTTTTGAGTTTTTTTGTGAGAGAAGAATGTAATGATTATGGGTTGGATGTGATGTTTTGTTTGTTATGGCTAAAATAGCCTATTTTGTTTTTTGTGGCTAAAATAGCTAAAAAAGCCTACAAACCCACTTGCCAAACACAGGCTAAAAAAATTAAAAAATCAACAACTTATATAAAAAAGTCAAAAATTTTATTTTCTCTCTATTTTTTGCACATTTTTTTATAAAAAGTCAAAAAAGTCATCCCAAACATATTAGTTTTTTTTACATCATATTTTAGTCCAAAAACTAAAAAATTACTAAAAAAGTCTGTTCCCAAACGAGGTTTAAAAGAATCAACACAATCTTTGATTTGAATGGGACAAGCATATTAATCTAAGTCTCATGTTTTTTTTTTAGAAAACTCAAAAAAAATAGCTAAAACAATAAATTAAGGGCATAGTCGAGTTAGGAATTTTGTCTTCTCCCCACACTCTTAAGTCTCGTGTTCATAACCGACAGGAGAGAGACTAACACTAGCTAACCTTCAATCAGATCTCTGATCTTGAAGTATCGATTTTCTTATCAATATATATATATATATATCAATAATGATTGAGATCCTTTTTTTTAGATGTCTTGACAATTTTTTTTGAATCTCAATTATTAATAATATAAACATTACATATATATATAGAGGTGAATCTCACACATATATTAATGGCATATATTAATGGCAGAGATTCAAAAAAAAATTATGGAAAGAGAGTCACAGACATTTTTTCAATATATATATAATATATGGATAGATATGTTTGTTGACACATAAAAGGCTGCTTTAAGTGACTGCAGAATAAACTAAAGCACAAAGTCAAGATCTGTAAACAGAACTCATGAACTTCTCATGCAGTTAATTCCATAAATTTTGAAATTTTAGGCCAAAAATCTTCTCTCTCTCTCCCCCTCCTCTGCACATCTGCCCATTAAACAATCAAAATGGCAGATTCCCAATCATCCCCTCCACTCCATAGCAAACACCCATAATTGCACCCAACAATCAACAATCAATTTTTTTTTATTTGCCCATCCCCCCCCAAAAAAAATCCTCTTCATCACATACATACCAACCTCAACTTCCTCTCCTCAACCTTTCAATTCACACACTATCTATCAATCTCCATCACAACCCTTTTCTCTTTCCACCACCACAACCATCTTTTTCCCACAACCCATTATGAACAACCACCACCCTTCTTCCTCCACCACTTCCACCACCACCACCACCTCTGTCAATGGCTTCTACAACTTCCTCACCCGAGGCCTCGAGGATCTTCACTCCACCTTCCCCTCCTCCTCCTGCAATTCCATGTCTCTCCATTTTCTCCAACACGTTCTCTCTTTGCTCCGGTCCTTCCATTCTGAACTTACTATTTTAGTCCAGAAGCTCAGATTACCTGTAGGAGAGAAATGGCTCGACGAGTACATGGATGAGAGCTCGAGGCTTTGGGAAGCTTGTCATGTTCTCAAAGCCGGGTTATCCAACATGGAAGGTTTTTACTCTGCTGGTTCTAATGTAGCATCCTCCATTGATGACCAGATGATTACTCCACAACGTTCCCGCCAGGTTAAACACACCTTCTCAAGCTTGTTCCATTCCATTCCAACTATGTCAATGAATTAACTTTGATTTGACCTAATAGAAACTAGCATCATGGTTTATTTTGTACACAAAATGAATTAGCTTTAGTAGTGGCATTGCATGCTTTTAAACATCATATCATATAAAATATTTGTACAAAATTTGTCACCAAAATAATGTGACAATGGTATTTCTATAATTGAATATTATTTAAATGACCACTTTGTTTTAGAGTGATAAGTCCTATTGGTATTTTTATAATTGAATATTATTTAAATGACCACTTTGTTTTAAAGTAATTAGTCTTAATATAACCGTGTTATTCTGTATACAAATTTTATTTAGTACTCATAAACTTTAATTTGACCAAATAGGAATTAGTATCATGGCGGATTTTTGTGTTCAACAATGATATATAGCCAGTTTTAACTCGTAATCAACAATGTCTTGTTCCAACTATGTGAATCAATTAACTTTAATTTGACAAAATAGAATAACAATGAAGATATATAGCTAGTTTAACTCTTTTTGTACAGGTTATTCGGTTGATCACTGGTTGCCGAAGAGAAGCAGTTGGATTAGAAGAAGAGAACAGGAACTTGATGGAAACAAGAATTCAACCATTGTCTCTAAAATTTGATGGGAATGTCTCCATAGAATCCAGGTTCAATGCCTTCAATGGCTTTCGAGGCGTGCTCTATGCAATGAGGAATGTGAGCTCATTGCTCTTGATGATCTTGTTCAATGGACTTGTCTATTTTTGGCCTCAAACAAACTTCTTCCATGGAGATTGTGAGGGACAGATGGTTTTTGGCTCGGCTTTCATGGTCTCAGCTGCCAGGTTACACCAAAGAGTGGTGGCGGAGATGAGTCAGATGATCAATGGGAACACGGGGATTGTGCTTTGTGAGTTCAGAAGGGCGCGAATCGCCATTGAAGAGATGAGAGAGGAATTGGAGAGAGTTGTGGAGTATGGGAGAGAAGGGGATGATGTTCATGACAAGGTTGAGGAATTGAGGACTGGCTTTGGAGTGTTGAAGTGTGGGGTTGAGAATTTAATTATGCAGCTTGATGACTTCTTTGATGAAATAGTAGAAGTGAGGAAGAAGCTTTTGGACATGTGCACACATGGGTAGAGAGAGATGGGAGTTCAAACTTTGCCAAAAAAGTCTAATTGTACCGAAAGAACTGGATACAGAATACAAAAATGTGGGATAATATAATTATAATTATAGATGCGAATAAATGTTTATTCACATTTATATATTTTGTGTCCCGTTCTTTCTATGCATGTAACATAGTTGCGTACTATGTGAAGGCACAATGCAATCTGTTCAAATGAGATGAGTCCTATCAATATGTGTGGATAAGAAATTTGTGTCTGATTCTGTGAATGAATTCAGTACACATAGCAGGATTGATGAAAAAATCGGTTGTTAGTTTAGACATCTTCATCTATATTGTTCTTTTTAGGAAGAATTACACCAATAGTCATTGTGATTTGTTTTCTTTTGGCAATTCAGTTCTTATGGTTCTAATTTGGTAGATTATATCCTTAAAATTTTCATATAGGATCAAATTAGTCCAATTGAAAATATTACTATAGAAATTGGGCTGAAATCAAAGATAAATTAGTCTATTTACAATTATCAAAGTAATTGAGTGATTGACGTCCAATGTGAAGCGGTCCATTCTCTGTTAAATGAACTATTTTACCATTAATTTTGATTAAATTTCTTGACAAATCTTATTAATTAAACTAAATTGACAGTATAATTGATACAATGAAAATTACACAGCTCAAATTAACACAAACAAATAACAAGACCACAAATATAATTTTTCCTTTTCTTTTACTCTATGTTTACAGTTCCTTCTTCTTCTTGAAGGCATTTTGTTTTGTAGCTCAAATTCAACTGATTTGAAGCTCTTAAGGGGAGGTTTCCTGAGAAAACCAAACAAGGAAAATTTGGAAGGAAAGAGAATGTGATTCTTTCCTTTGAAGAAAAGAAAGATTATTATGTCTTATATAAAGAGAGGGGAAATAAAAGAAGAATATATATATATATATATAATATATAATAGACAGAGACAGCTTCAATAGAAAGCAAAAATTTTCCCAACCCAAAGGACAGATTCTTCCTATAATGTGCACATGAAAGAGAAATTGATTCTTCTTGTTTTGCACACAAAGACTTATAAGTCACAAGCAAGCTAAATATTATATATATATATATGAAACATATATGAGATTGATAAGAATACTTATCTGGTATCTCTTGTTAAAGATTTGGATAAATTCCAATCACCTCTTTTAAGATTAAATTTGAAAAAATTATAATTAATCTCACATTTTTAATATAATTGTACCAATTTCTCTTTTAATATGATTATACAAATTATAATCATAATTATAATTATTAACTTTAAAAAAGTCTAGAGGCTGAGCTCTGGGGCATCTACAGAGGCTTGACTATCATTATGCAAAAAGCTTAATTGCTACGTAAATTAAATTAAAAGTGCAAAGCTAATTCTTTTTTCTTTTTTTTTTCAAACTTCTAGGTAAGTGTAATAATGAACAGTATATATTGATTAATTAGTCAAACCTCTTGCAACTCACTTCGGAAGTCAAAGATTTAAGTTTTGCTATCGACAAATTTACTATGGGTAAATTACCCTGGCACCTCCTTGATGTTTTTGTTTAATATAATTTTTTTTTTTATATTTGAAAAATTATGGTAGCGTTTGGTAGAATTTTGTAAATGTGATTTGAGAGTATGAGTTGTATTTTGAGTTTGTGTGTTGCGGAGTTATAATTTGAGTGTAGAAAATTTGTTTGGTAAAGAGTTTTGAAAATAGTTTTGGAAAAGAGGTTTGATTTGAGTGGGGAATTATTGATGTGACATTTGATATGTGATACAAAAATTTACAACTCATAACTAAACATACAACTCAAAATTATTTTAAAGCACATAAAAAATTTAAAAAATTTCAGAAAATATTTTTAAAAAAAAAAAAAAAAAAAAATTACTGTTCCGGACAGCCGGCCGGTCAACCGGCCGGACGACCGGCCGGACGTCCCCTTAGCAAAAATTTTGAAAAAAAAAACAGAGCAAAAGAGCGGCTGAGACAGATTTGGTACAGAGCTCTCAGCAGAGCTTTTGAAACGTGATTACAAAATCCTAAACAAACATCATACTGAAACACCGGTGTAGAATCACGTTTCAAAAGCACAACCAAACACAGCCTTAAAGTTTTTAAATGATCATCTTGCCATTTTTCTTACCATTTCTTCTTCCTATCATCATGATACATTCTACAACTTTTCAATACTAAATTATATCTAAACATATTCTTATTGAGTGATGATACATAAATATAAATTTTATATAGAATTTTCAAATACAATGATATGGCTTAATGGTGACCTTTCACTTTAAAATAAAACACCCATAAATAATGTAATACCCCAAATGTTTAATTAACACCACGTTCATAAGTTGCGATTCCAATCCTAAGCATCCGGGAGTTGGGTCGTGACAAATATGATTTATATTTAGAACAATATCACTATCACAACATTTTTATGATTTTTTTGTATAAATTTTTATATATAAATATAATTTTTCATTTTTATTTCCACCATTATATCTAGATCAATTTAATCTAGAGATATTTAAAAAGTATAAAACTTGTACAAAAAAAAAAAATTAAAAAAATCCATTGTATACAAAATAAGATAATGCATTGCATTTTTGTATTTTTTTAATTTTTTTTTTATATTTGGTGAATTTAAAAAAAAATCACAAAATATTATACCTTTTAAGTATATCCAGATTAGGTGTATCTAAAAAATAAAAATTGCTTAAAATATTTAAAAAAATTCAGTAAAAATAAAAAAAAATATATATGAAAAAAAAAACTCAATTTTTTGTGTGAGTTAAACCAAATAAGATGATTGTTATTTCTCTTGAAATAACATGAACAAAATATCTGTATTATTTTATTATTTTATATGTATAAAGACTAAGAGTCAAATATGTCATTTTAATCTGACAGGAGGGTAAGTGTAATTTTTCAAATGTGATGAAGGGATCTGTATTAAATAGAAACTTCAAGGGTGTCAGTGTAATTTACCCATTTACTGTCTCCAATGTACCCAAAAATATATTTTCTAGATCCTTTTTCTTTTGATTCAATAGAGAAATTTGGCAACAATAACCTGGAAAATCCCCTCCTTTAATTTTTCAAATTTTTATTTATGCAATTCCTGTAATTTCATGCATGAAAAGATACAGCAAAAAAAGTTTAGGCTAGGTCCAATTCTTAAAGTTGATCCCAAAAACAGAAAAATATATATATAGAACATCTAAAGACATGACAGTTATTCAAGAATCCATAAAAGGAAACTGGAAAAAGAATAAATAAATAGAATTCCATATTTATAAAAAAAAAAGTAACTTCACCAAACAAGGTTTAAGACAAAACCAACAAATGTTAGATATATATAGCAAAGCTAGCTTCCATGGAAGGTTTCATTTTCTCACACAGACAAAAGATGCTTCTCATGTCAAGTAAAAAAGAAGATGATAATTATATCAAATTAATTTTCAATGAGTTGATAAAATTAGAGAAAACTTTTCAATTTTGTTTTTTGGGTGATAGGCAATTTTTGTTTTAAGTTACCCAACTTAGGTTGTTTAATTCATATTGATCTCAACTTAATAGATTGGAAGTCAAGTAATTAACTTGGATGGCATGCTTGTAATGCTAAGCCTTTATATATATACATAGGTTCACTAATTTGAAGAAATTAGACTTATTCAAATATGGCATTAAATTTTACAATTCACACAAGTGGAGCATTAAACAGAAGAGATAATGATTTGTAAACAGAAAGCTTATACACAAAATAGTGTTAGAATTATGTCCTTTAGGATCCGACCAAAAAACGAAATGATTGATGGGTTTTTAATAAATCTTGTGAGAGCCTAAAATGATGAAGTAAAATCTTTGGCACAAGTTTTCTTCATCATTAAATTGTGACAACCGACCTTGAGAGGATAAAAAGTGGGAGTAACCTTAGGCAGTCTAATTTATACATGCATAATAAGGCAATTGAAGAGATACAAAAAAAAAAAAAATTTCTCTAATTTAGCCACTCTTCAATTTTTGGTTTTAAAAAAGGAACTGGCTTCCCTCCAATTTTAAATCGGATTGGAGAATGCTGTTGAGTTTGTGGGGGCTTATCACAAATCCCGCTTCGATAATCCAAATCATTCAATGTGTAGAATTCGTCGAATACCATGTGTCTATGAAAAATCACGTTGATCAGATATCGATAGTTACGTGATCAAATCAGTTTTGTATAAAAAAAAAAATAGACGGTAAAAAAATAAACGATTGACATAAATCTAATCCAAAGAAATAGCTATCGATATCTGATCAACGTGATTTTTTACAGACATATAGTATTCGACGAGTTATACACATTAAGCAGTTCAAATTATCAAAACAGGACCTATGACAGGCCTCTACGAGCCCAACAATACTCTCCAATCTGATTTGGGACTAGAGAGAAGTCAGTTCCTTAAAAAATCTCTAATCTTTGCTAGGAAAGCCTCATATTAACACACTCACTGACCTCCATAGAAGGCTCCTTATAATAAGTAAAGAGTAAATGATGTTTTGAGAAAATTGTTAAAAGTTATTTTTTTATTTTTTTTTATTTTTTTGTGAGAAGGAAAGTGAATTACAAGCTGAAAAGTAATTTTTAGCTCACTTCTCAAAGTAGCCCTAAAAATACAAGACACCTTTTAATTTACACATACAAATAAGAATTAAACAAAAATAAATTGTAGATGTGATGTGACGATTGTCAATTATAATTATGTTTTTTTTTTTCTGGTTTTTCTTGTACCTTCAAAGGAAGAAAAAGTAATATGATATTGGAGGGATTGTTTTCCAACTATTATAAATATAAATCTTTTTTGCACTTTCACATGAGATTCTTTTTGAGTTGTGATAGTAAATGACTAATCATTCCAGTTGTGAAACAATGATGGAAAAGTTGTCTATAGAACGATATGGGTAAGAGAGGGAGAGAGAGAGAACAGATGTGAGATTCCTGGGCTTGCTTTTTGCAAACATTTCAAAAGAGCAATTTTCCTTTTCTCTTTGGAAGAATTTGTCTGTTCCTGTTTGGCTTCTGTGAAATTTCAAAGTAAATGGTGATTGTTCTGTTGTTATTTTTCAGATAAATTACAATTTGTACATCTAAAGTAATACCCAATTCTCAGTTTGGCCCTCAACCTTTTAGGTTTTCTCAATTTTGTCCTTAAACTGTTACAGTCCGTTTGGATGGATGTGATTATCAAATCACGGGATTTGAGATAAAAAAAATATATATATATCAAAAAATTAACTATTATGGGTGGCTAGAAAAATCATAAAAGAAGATAAAATATTTCTAGCTAAAAGATCATTCTTAGCATGATTTCAAATAATTTCT